TTTTTGTAAGTATACCCAAAGACTTACCTTCGAATCAGCTGAAGAGCTGAAGCTCTTTCCTTTCCGACCAAAACAAAGAGCCTGAACTAAACATGCTAACATTGCTCCAGTGCATTAAGGGAAAATTCGAAGGGCCAAATAAACTCCAATGCTTGAGTTACTAAATAAGTTTTGAGAGTAGGGGTGGGTGGGTTGAAGTCTATGGGTGACCATGCATCCATTGAGCCTTCAAAGAAGATGAGATGGTGATTGATAGGAAAACAAAAGAACATGAAATGGTGGGGGTTCAATCGTTTTTACATAGTTTCTCTTCTCTAGGTTAAACGTTGATAAGCATGATCTGATCTGGATCTCGCATTGAGTTCCATCCCACCAGCTTCTATTTATTAAGGCCAATGAATCTCTTTAACTCCTTAGCTGGAGAAGGTTTTAAGTTCTCTCTGCAGATGATGGGGTATTGCATTTCGCCATTCCCTATTCCCTTTGAGATGCAGTCCCGACATCTTCATACCTCTCAGTTTCTATATTTTGTTACTTGTTATAACTGTATGTACTTTTATTTTGTTATGTACTTTCATTACTTGTACCTTTAAAGTCATAGAATGAAAGAGAGAAGCTAACATCATAGCAAGGGAGCTTTATGGGGAGAGAGACAGAGAGTGCTACTTGCTTGGTGATGAGTGAGAAAGAAATTGGTAACATACCTCTCTCAACTTTGCTGCTCTGCTCTCGAGAGTCTTCTTGTGCTCTGCAACAGCCTCTGCCAGGACCTCAGCCTTGTGCTCTCTCATATCCAACAGCTTCTTCACTGCATACCTCACAGTGCCATGAGGTTGGCTAAGCCCGGGAAAGCCATGAAAGAGCTCAATCACATCAGCATTGTTCAACACCAAAAAGCCAAAGTCCAGGCCCCTTGTTAAAACATCAAAAGATAATCCTCCGAGCACCGACAAACAAAGCTCTGACCCGACCTTCCCCAAATCCCAACCACCCCAAGTCTCTCTCTTCCATTCCAAACCTGAGAAAGAAGTATCCATTACCAGCCTCGCTCCATCTGTAGAGCATATGGAGAGAACACCCTCTATCTCTTCCTTAGTGTAAATAGATCCTGTTGGGTTCACTGTGGGGCCAGAAAGATAAACCCAAGGCCTCTTCACACCAGGCAAGAAACCTTTGAGAATGTTTTCAGTGAGCTTGAATCCATTATCAGGCAATGTGGGTATGGTTGAGACATTTGCTTTGAGGAATTTGGCAGTGAGAATGTAGTTTCCATTAGAGCCAAAGGGGATACAAAGGGTTCCACCCTCTTGAATGCAACAGAGCACAAGCTTGGTGAAGAGGGCAAGGGGGCTATCTGCATAAATTATTTCGGAGGGGCCTGTTAAGGGGAGCCCATACTTGGATGAGATGAGGTCGCGGATACCAGGGCCAACGTCGGTTTCGGCATCAGTCATGTTTTGCCTTGCGAAGCTCTCAAAGATGGCAGCCCTTACAGCTGATGGGGTCGGGAGACAGTTCTGGTCCATGTCCATGTGAATTATAACGGGGTCATTGGGGCCGCTATTGTTTTTGTCGATGGGTGGAAGAGGGGTGGACAGTTCTGGGTCATTCAGAGTTGACATGGCGGAGCTGGCAAATCCGATCATCTTCATGGAGGTCTCCTTTGCGGGTTCTCTCTGCATAATAGGTTGATGGTTTACCTCAGATGTTATGAGAAATTGGTGTTACACCTGTGTGTGTGATAGAGAGAGAGAGAGAGAGAGAGAGAGAGAGTAGTTGTTACTAATATGTATTACGAATACGAGTATATTGCTAGAAGAACTAAGATCAGAGAGAGAGAAAGAC